TACTGTTTAGCTGAAGCGTCTGAATGCTAGAATTTTTCACCAGCAAATCACACAGGGTCTGAAAACAATTGTAATTGCAATATTTAAGCCAGTTGCATTTAGTACTAGCAATAATTTAATGGGGAAAAGCCACAATTCATGCTCACATGATCAGGATAAAATTAACAAATAAATAACTGGTCTATAGAACAAGATCAATGAATATACATCAATTCTGCAACAGGACACCCATTGAACTTTCCCAGTGCATAACATTCCCCGTATTCTAGTCTTAATCAATAAGTTTTAGGTTCAAAATACCTAGGTAAGCCAACCATGTGAATTCATATCTATATTACGAATAACACAAGTTTCTGTTAACGTATTTGGGATATCAAATATCCCAGGAATAACTAGACTAGCAAAAGTTATGATGAACTGATTGATGACCAATCCAATACGTAATGAATAAATACTGAGAGGCAAATGTGAGATATCCCTTCATGACGAAGGCATTTTTCAACATAGGAAAAATTTATATATTTGAATTATTTCTTACAATCTCCTCATTTTGTCCAACGTTAATTTATCAAAATTGATTCTATTAAAAATTCTCACCCCTTATGAAATTTTCTCCCCATAGACAAAGAAAGACGCTCCCCAAAGAATCCAACCAATTTTAAAAAAGGGGGATTAACAGGCAACTCCTCAATCATGTCCCAACGACCCCTACTAGGTGTTGAACTAGCACAAAATGTTTGAAGAAATCTACTCCAATTTTCATGGTAAAACAACTATTATTAAGTAGGTGCAAGTTCTCGTTTTGTAGTTTCTTGGGAACTCTTCGTATGTTGGATTTTTTTTATGCCCTTGTACATTCTTTCATTTCTCTTGATGAAAGCTCAGTACCTTGCCCAAAAAAACGGTAAAACAACCACTCCAAAGCATCTGGTCCCCCTTCCACTATGACAAGCACTAGCATAAAACCAAATACAAAGATCTTTGCACGAAGTCTATGTTATTGACCCTCCTCTCAAAGTAACCAAGGAAAGAATCTAAAATCTTACTTTGTCTTCCAACTTGAACGTACACAATGTAAGAACTTTTACTGGGATGAAATGAACAAATTTTGGGAGTTTTGGGTTTGTTAATGGGATTTCATAACTGTAGGAATCTGAAATTCAGATTCTTTACTATTCTTTGCATCAGAAAGACAGGAAGGAAAGAACAAAGAAGATTGATCAAAATTGTTGAATCCACTTCAGATTCTTAGCATGGACACGCAGTTTTACACTTGAATCCACAAGCCTACGACTCAATAAATAGTTGCTGAATAACGTATTATTAAACATTCACTGGAATATGTTGCAGCAGCGTTAAAAGGAAAACATACCAAACTCAAATTGAGAAACTATTAAAATGAAATAAAGACAAGCACTTAGAAATCCAATAAGAATTATAGAACCTGATTAAATTAAAATTTCAAGATACTAGGTACTTTTTTAAGCAATATACTAACATTAAAAAAATAAAGCAATTTTTTAAGGGTTAAAAAAAGACAAAAACCAGAAAAGCATAGGGATTCTAATTGTATATGCACAAGTATCTAGGGCACGAATGTATGCCTTTCTTTTAGAAAGGTAAGCTAACGACCTTCATCTGTAACCAAATCTGACTCATTTTGTTGAGCTAAAACGAAGTGTTTGGTGAGTGCTTTCAGAGTGCCCTTCCATAAATCTTTTATCTTAGTAAATTTTCTTTTGTTTCCACCCTTGGACCTCAGCTAATCAAATTAACCTCACAGGTTTTCTATGTTCAATCTCTCTTCTCTTTCCACCCATGGACATAGCCTTACCGTGGGTCTGAATAGGCTAACCGTTTGGCAAGTGCATTCAAATTTTTCTTCAACATACTGGCATTGCTTCAGTCTACTCTCTCTCCCTTTGCATTCAATATCAACTGATTATAATTCCCCAAAATATTTTTTTTCATAAGAAACGGACTTCCATAAATAACAAGAAAGAGAGATACAACCTAAGGGCCAGGGGCTTGTTAAAAATGGTAGGAATGTTGTAATTACAAAACAATTTCCTGTGACTATATCCCACCAAGAAGCGGTAAGCTGTACACTTCTCCAAGAGAATAAAAAGAGGGCTTATCTTCAACGATACTAATTCCCCCAAAACAATAAAATTAAGCAGGTGAATGCTCATCAAATATTAAAGATATAAAAAGTTTTGCTGACCTTAACTCCTTCATCTCCAATTGGGTTGCCAGAAAGATCAAGGGTCTTTAAAACGATATTTGATTGAAGGACGCCATCAAACGCTTTAATCCCTTCAGCTGTTATTCCATTTGCAGAAAAATTAACTTCCTCAACCGTCTGTAACAATAAAATAATTCAATTAAATACCCAAATATAAAACTAGCAACACTTCATGTCATAATGTTGCACGGGAAAAAAAAATAGCAACTGTTCATGGCAATCACGCTCATTAGCTATAACACTAGCCATGGATTATAGAACCAGAAAAGAAATAGTAGATGAACCTGATTGTATCCTAAACTCTCAGCAAGAAAAAACAGGCCTTCATCTCCAAAGTTGCGTGCTGTCAATAATAAGTTTAAATATCACATACTTCACAGTTGGCAAGTGAATGAAGTTTAGAACTTGAACAAATTAAGCATAAGAAAATGACCTTTGTGAATGCTCGAACAAAGAAACATTGAACCCATGGGAAATAATAAATACATCTAAATTCTAATAATCAGATAATAAACTACCATATCGATTTTAAATGACTGATAATGAAAGTTGACGAACCTAGTAGATATACCAAAAGTGCTGGATATTATGGCCAGTTTCAAGATGTGGTGAAGTCAGTTGGAAAATTCAATCGGTATTGACAAAATTCACTAAGATTAAACGACTATGTCATAATGCTGCAGCATTCAATAACACGGCAGCATTGAAATTAAAAATCATGTCTCCATTAACTCGCTGAGTGTCGTACCTGTCATGTCGACACTTCTAAAAGTCCGGAGTTCTTTTGCGAAGTCATTAAGCTTCAATTTGGCTTCCCTGTCAATCTTGGCGGTAAGATTTGGAAACAAATTTATACCAGCACCGAATGACCATTTAGCTTCTTGGGCTGGGGACTTGTTTCTCTCAGATGAAGACCTATCTGACTTCGGAATCGTGAGTCTTTCCACCAATTTCCATAAAACTGTGAACTCAAAACTTAAATTAGTATCTCCAAGTCAAAATTCGGTGCCATAGTATTCCCAAATATACATGGAGGCGGCGAAAGTTACAAGTTATGCTTCAAATTAGTACATTTAAACTTGAAGACATCAATTTGCACTTCAATAAGAATACATTTAGAAACTCCTTTTGAATTGGGAAAAAAAACGAAAAGTGCAAAACCGTACCGAACGTAACCACGATGAACACGCCAGCAGGTAAAACATTCGAGGCAACCTGCTTCAGCGGGGTAATCACCGAGGAGCTCTCAGTTTGAGATTCCCTGTAAACTCTCCGAGAAGTTGCAGCCCGCCTGGAGCCGCCCTCGGACCTCAACGTAGCCTTTAAAACCAAGTTTCTGAACCTAAAACCTCTTCTCCAGTGCGCAACCGAAACCAACGCACCATTGGCATGATAATCGAAGCTAGAACGGCGAAATCCCACAGGTCGGAGCCGTAGCGAATGATCTCGGAGGAAAATCTAGAATGGAAGCCAGAACAGTTGAAATTGCGAGGTAGAAGCATTGGATTGATTGAAGAAAAGAATTAAGCGAAAAAGTATAGTAGTTACCTTAGGATGAGAGGAGAGAGAGATTGTAGAGGTGGAAGTGGAGGCCATGGATGCTGCTTGGAAGTGGATTAGATGCGCATGGGAGAGAAGGTATGTGGAGGCGCTCGGTACGGGAGAGAGAGTGGAGTGTTGGTTTGGGTTACGGAGGCGATTGTTCCAAACCAGAGTCCTGCAGGTTCTTCCCGAAGTTTTCCTGATTATTCTTTCTTTTATTTTTAAATAACACCTCATAAATGATGAGCTCAAAATTTCGAATATCCACAAAATAAATAAATAATAATAATAAATAAAACCTTTTGGTCATGGTCAGGGAACATTTTTTAAGAATAAATTACTTTTTTTTTTGCGAAAATCTAGGATTAGTGTTAAATTAGTTTCTTAATTTCAAATTTAAACTAGAACTGCATTAATTTTGGTTCTCAATTAAGAGAACTATTTAAATATAGTAATGGAAGTTGAAGTTAGGGCTTTTAAAATAATAAATTATTATTTTTTAAAATATGTTAAATTATTAAAAAAGATTGTACCTCATTTCAATTATACCTTTCAAAATTTGAAAATTATTTTGGAGGTTCGAGGAAGAGAGAAAGAAGAAAAAAACATAGGGAACTCAGTAGCTAGAGGTTCGAGGTAGACCCACACTTGCTAGAACCCTTGTTGTTGAGTTTGCGATTTGTGGACGGTTAATTTCATGTAGGAAAAAAGAGATTTTTTGGGCAACCACCGAGGCAACATCGATGTAGTCTAATCCTGCATCTAGTGATTCATGTGTTTCCTGTGATACAACCTAAATGCTTTACAAGTTTCAAGCGGCATAGTCTAAATACTCCACTCAAGACTTCATACATTCAAAGCAACGTAGTCTAAAAATCTACATAAAAGACTTCTTACATTCCAACGATGTGTTCTTATCCGCTTAAAGCCTTGAATATATCTTTTAAAGTCTTAGGGGATATTTTGATCATTTTACCCATAATTCTTAGTTTGGCCTCTAAACGCGTTCCAATAACTTATGAAGTCATCCATAATGTATATGGCTATCTTTCAATAAACCAGACGTAAAACATATTTTATAATGATAACTAACATATTTTATGTTAGTTATAGTAGTTGAAAGTTCACGACACTAACCGAAAACATTAATTTTTGAAACCCTTAGGAACAAAAATGTTGGACTTGGAAACACAATAAAAACCAAAAGCTGTTAAAATATACAATGAAAAAGGTAGGGGTATTAAAAATTAGGCATAATTGTATCATACAAATATATTCTGTGTAAGTTCTATTGATTTTAACAGTGAGTTTTTGAATCGTCTATATGTGGCTAATGAATGCTACGGCCTTGTTTTCTCTGTGCCTTCAGCTAAGCTACCGCTGCTGCTCTCACATAACACAATAAGAAGAGGCTCATTTGGTTTAGAACAAAAAAGGAAAAATCAAATGAGCTTCTTTTTGTGGAAAAAGGTCTTGAGGTGCCAAATTTGCAAACCCGCCACTGATGAGCAAACGAAAAGCGAAAGAAAACTCAACCGCGCCATCTTCGTGTTCGTACTTGCGTTCAGATCTTGCATTTCTTCCTCCCTGCCATCATACATTGTTCAAAATTTCATTTCAGGCCAACACAGAACAAAAACCACGAGTAAGGCTGTCGACGTCAATTGGGATCGGGATTGAGTAATACCAATTCCGTAAACAGAGTGAGAGAGAGAGATATAGCTTTGTTCCGTTTACCTTTCACGGAGATAATACATCTCTTCTTGAATAGAATTGGCAGTTTCAAACAACTTCTGCAGCTCAAATTCCATAGCCTGTGCACGAGATTTGGGAAAATAATCCGAACAACGTATTTCAGCAATTTATTAGAATTGAAAATACAAACAACATGTGTGCCATAAGATCTGTGTCGTTCAACCAAAATTATGAAAGCAGTCATTGAAGCAACAACATCAGCATCACTGACCACCGTCAGTGGTCAGCCCTTCATTGTGTTTTAAATACAAATTTGAAGTTACAAGTTCATAGCGTTTTAATAGTCTTTTATAGTAATTTGACATTTGTAAAAGCATTTTAGTGCAACACAAATCAAACCAATAAACTTACACTTTTAAGTTTATCTTCCTAACTTCATTTTTGTATTTCAATTTTTGTTTCTTCCAACTCCCTATCGAACAAGCCTCTCCTCAACTCTAGATTCCAGTTACCAACACTCGGGTTCCAACCTTATTCAACAATCGATCGTGTCCGAAATTATGAAAAATTAAGGGAATGGTCACCCTAACCAGATGTCATCCCAAAAAGGATTTCACTACAAAAACCTCACCTTATACCCAATATTAAGCTAAAACAATTTGTTGAGCTTTGTAATCTCCTTTCATGGGCTGGAAGACCCTTTCCAGTTTTTGTATTTTAACTGACACCCCTAGCTACTGTCAGCACCTTTCCACAAAAACAATCCGAACGCTTTTCAAATGTTCTTAGATACAGCAATAGGGATTCTGAAAATGGACTATTTGAACAAAGTTGAATCTAGATTTGTCTAATGCAAGCAAACAATAGTAAATAGTGTAGGACTTTAATAGCAAAAATAATGGTGCCCGGGCTCTTTATGAATTGTAAAAGTTTGTTCTTAAGAGAGAATCAGCAATAAGATTGTTAGTACCAAGGAGAAAGAATACCGAGAAAACTTGGCGAGTGAAAATTGTGTTCGGGAGGCTGACTCGTGCTCTCCACTACAGCCATTGTTAATGTATCTAGCTGGTATCAAAGACTAGGAAGATGAATCATCCCTTCAACCTAATTATATGACTTCTTTCAAACAACGAAGAACAGTGGCTCTAAATTTAGAGGGAATGCAGATCTTGAGTGGCAAAAGGGAAAGAAAAAGTTGAGTCGTCCTATTGATTTAAAGATCTTATTTTTATACTGGAAAGAGAAGGCTAAGACATCCCGAACTAGACCTTGTTGGCAAGATGAGCTTGGAGGTAACAAAGGGGATCAAAGAAAGAAGCTTCATAGTAAGATAAGCACAAGGATCCATGGGAAGAAGAACTTGAACTTGGGTTGTTTTCTTGTTCTTTTTTAACAATGAGAGGAAATCTAGAATTGACCACAATCCCTGGCCAAATGTTGCCAACCCCAAACCTCTTTTTGAGCCGTCAACAATCCTAAGGGAGGGAAATGAAGCCTCGGACATTATGTTGGAGAGATAGGTGCCTAATGCCACGGTCATGCTTGTCCAAGAGGTGTTGCCTGTGGCCGCGTGTTGGATGTCTCGATCATGCTTGTCCATGGTTGCATGCCCGATCCAAACCCTTTTTACTTGCTTTCATGTCAGATAGGTCTTTAATATTCTTGTTATGTCACCAAAATCATGTCTACACCCACCAGGACTAAAATGCCCCAAAATGTACTACTAGGGATGTGACTAGTCATCAATTTTTCCTACCCGAGATATATGCTATCAAAGCTGTGATAATTGCTTATTCACTTTTAGCCTATAACATTGCTTTTTAAAAAATTGTTTCCAACGTATTGTCTCACTCACGTTTTATAAAACATCTCTCTCAAACATGACTCGAGAATCAAGTATATACCAATATTGTTCGTGAAGTCCGAATCTCACACGGCTGACTTGTTTGCCAAGTTAGAACAAGTGTGACACAATCGTTATCCACGACCATAAAAGTGCGACTGTGACACCTAGTTGAGCAGATTCCCTACCTCTTTTGCTAACTCTAGTTCCAAAGACATGAACCGAAAGAAGCCGGGGACGAACAACTAGATTTGAAATTCCCCACTACAATGCTTCAACTATTCTTGACATTTGCTAATTCCACAAAAGAAACATCATTCGGTTGAGCATAGATTAAGAAGAAGGATAACAAAACAACTGTGTGGTTGAACGAAGTCAACGATTGCTTGGAGTTTGCGACTTCAAAGGAACTCTAGGTTGTTCAATGAAAAAGAATGCCTAGACAGGAAGATATTACCAATGCAAGCAAAGAACAGTTAATTCCTCAAATCCAGAGAATCAAAGCTTCACAAAGAATTGAAATGTCGAATAATAACGCCAATCAAAATCCTCCAAAACTAGCAAAAGGTGAAAGCAGAAGCCATCAAAAGGAACGAAGTTGAATCTAGATTTGTCAACACAATCAAAAACTTACTTCGACATCGCCCTTCTTAGCAACACTGGACCATTGCTTGGCAGCCACACCCGTCCTCCAATCGAAATCCACCGTTAATGTTACTTGAGGCTTGTGATCAGGAACCCAAAAGCAGGTCATGAAATCACCCCCTTCCCCAGCAACGAACGCGAATTGCCCCGATTCAACCTTGTCGGAATAGTGGAAGGTATTCCCAGTAGTCGAAGTCACCTACAGATTCCAAAACCCTAAATCAAGCATCACTCATCGATCAAAAGCCATATAAAAAAAAAAAAAAAAAAAAAAAAAAANCTCATCGATCAAAAGCCATAAAAAAAAAAAAAAAAAAAAAAAATCAAGAAATCCTCCCAAAAAAACTATACCCTAACAACAAGCTTGCGATCATCAGTCAAAGGCTGGGCTTCGTTGGGATTGACAACGTGATACTTCCCGACAGTCACGGCGTTCTGCTTAATGTCCTCGGAGATGCATTTGGTGTGGCCGGACTGCAAGTCGAATCGAAGAGATTCCGATCCAGAAGAAAGAAATCCGATGAGTAGGAGGAGCTGAAAAGCGGCGAAGGACGGAACCATTTTTTGAAAATGGAAGAAAATTTTGAATGGCAAGTAGAACAGAGGTAGAGAGAGATTCGGGATAGTGTGACTTGAAGGAGAAAGAACACCGGAGAGAATTCAACGGCGGCCAACGAAAATGTAAAAAAGAAAACAAATAAAAATAATAATAATTATTACGTATTACAAAAACAAACAAAAACGTCAAAATTAAATTGACATTACCGTTGGCTGAGACACGTCCTATTTCTTCCGCCTCTGACTGACACGTGTTTAACCAAACAATGTTTGTATTGCATTTTACCATTGTGCCCCTCCTCCATTTTTCTTTTGTTTTTTTTTTTTTTTTTAAATCTCATTTTGGTAAGTCAACGTAATTGAATCTTGGTTTGACTTTAAATTGTCACGACTCAATTGTCGAAAGTTTATTGGATTGTCGATAAGATTTTTTGGGTTTAAAACATAAATACAAAAAAAAAAATTATGGATTTGAATAAATTGGACAAATATATATATAAAACATTAAATTAGTTGAAAATATGTTATAGCTCTATTTGTCACCTGCTCTAGATTCGCTCGCATCCTTGATTAGTTCCTTTTTGTCACTTACAAAATATGAGTCTAAGCATGAGACTCTTAATCATGTTTATGGCAATGATAGGGTATCACACTCTTTTCTTGTTTAATGTCGTGAGAACTTAGGTCCTTATAAAAAGAACCATGGTTATGATCTAAGGACCTCAACTTGGATCTTGATCCTTGTCCTAGTTTCTTATCCTTAGTTCTTGGTTCTTGTTCTTCTTTATTATTCTCTAAGATAGTCTCCCTAGGATTTACAATACAAAACATAAACCGAATAACTCGTGTTCAGGGCTTCATGCATTCCAAGTGACATATCAAGGCTTCATGTGTTCCAAGCAATGTAGTTTGAACCTATATCCAATGTTTCATGCGTTCCCTACGAATACAACTGAAAACCTACACTCAAAGCTTCTTATGTTCAAGGCTTCTTACACTCCAAGTGAAACAGTCTGAAAACATATGCCCAAGGCTTCATACATTCCAAGTGATATAGTCTAAATACCTATGTTCAAGGTGATAAGAATCATAGTGTTCCAAATGTTAAATCTAAACTTGTTACACGATCCAAGGACAAGAAGATTGAACAAACATTTATTCTTCATCTACAAAATTGGATAGGCTCGGTTCAACCATTATTTCATGTGTCACAAGCTTATTCAATTGAAGAAAGACTATTTGGTGCTTCAAAAATGAATATTTGCACAATTGAAGTAGCAGATGAAGTTGCTATAAATTGCACTCGATTCAGAAGTTATTAGAAAACTTCATTTATTAATTTTAATTTCACAATTCTTGGAGTGGGAAAAATGTGGGAAGTTATTTGTCAAATTGACTTCTTTGTAAATTTAAGGGGGAGTGGGGGTAAATTATGACCTGTAACTACTTTAGTGGGGTTTGAAGAATTGAAAGTTTGTTTTATTGAGAGTATAAATACCTACAAACTAGTATGTAAAAAGTAGATTTTGATGAATGAAAATTCAGCTCTCAAATTGAAACTTCCCCTTAGAAATTCAAGCATCATTTATAAGTTTCATGTCATTTTTGTGGTAGATTGCATATGAGTAATCTAATAAAGCTTTGATCAAGTTCGATTGTGGAGTGACTCAATTTAGAACAAGGTTTCAAATCTTGCTTATAAATCTTTGATCTTAAGAGTTAATCTAATTCTAGCATTTATCTCTTGGTTGATCCGAATTTTGCATAAGTAGGTGTTAATTTCTTTGATTCAAGGGTTCTTGCTTCAACAAAAGCTTAAATCGTTGGGCTGAGGATTAGGGTTACCTTATCCCAAGGCTTCTTACTTTACAAGCAATGTAGTTCAAAACGTGCGTCTAAGGCTTCTTAAATTCCAAGCGATGCAAACTGAAAACCTACATCTAAGGCTTCATGTGTTCCAAGCGATGTAGTCCAAGTTAAACATGTTGTATCGTGGGAGGTTTAGGGGTTCTTAGGTTCTAAATATAAGGACTTTGGTCCTTGTTTTGAGTGGTACATAGCAGTCTTCATGTCTTTTAGTGAACTTAGGGCTCGTGTTGTGATATGAACCAAGAGACATCAATCATACAAGATACTTCAATGAAGATGTGAAGAAAATATTGTTAAAATTATCAAAAGATATTTCAATTCATGTCACATTGAAGAATAATGAAGTTTTATGTTATAAATTTTGGGTAGATTACAATTTAGAGTTATTGTATTTCATTGATGTATTTTAAGACTTTTTATTTACTATAAGTTACAATTACATAATGATTAATTATGACCATTAAGTATGAATTTTACAACTCTTGTAATGACTTTAATAGTTTCATTTTGAGGCTATATAAAGCCATGTATGTTGTATGTGTAAGAGACTTGAAAAATATAGTAAAAAGAAGCATTTGTGCTCTTCTTTAGCCAATGACTAAGTTTCTTTGCAATTCTATGTACTTTAGGTTGCATGTAGAATCATTCAAGCTCGACATGATCAATCTTGCTTGTGGAGTGATTCGAATCTCAAGCAAGTGTTTTTGCCTTGAGATATTTGATCAACAAGAATCATTCAAGCTAGACATGATCGATCTTGCTTGTGGAGTAATTCGAATCTCAAACAATGTTCTTGCTTTGAGACATTCGATCAACAAGGTAATCCGAATCTTACTCCCCTTGTAGTGGTTTCTTATCTTATCATATTGTATTTTTTCTTGATTCTTGTCCTTGGAGCGTTTTCTTAATTTCATGGGTTCTTGCTCCAAGGGTTATTCTTAAGGCACAATCATGACATAACTCTCATCATAAATTCTTAAGCCCTAATCAAATTTCATGAACATTTCATAATAACATGCATAATTCATTCCTGACATCTTAAAGATTAAAATATATTCCTTCAAGTTCTAGAAAGATCATGAATTTTTGTTAGGGCTTTAGGGTAGTTTCATCATTTTTCTTAAGCCTTCGCTTATACCCAAACTTGGTTTTGGTTCTAAATTTGATTCAAACACCTTGAAATTTTAGGTAAACCTTGTGTTCTTATAGATAAATGTTTCTTAAGATCTTGAATTATTTGGAGGTTGTTTGGATGATGAATATCCTAAGAAAGTTTTAGAGGCATTTTGATCATTTTGTCCTTAGTTCTTGGTTGAGTCCCTCAACGCAATCCAATGATTTTGGAGTTTAATTGGTTCATAAACTAACCCTTAGGCATGGTAGGGGCATTTTTTATCATTTTGTACTTATCCTCGATTTAGTCCCCGAACAAACCCCTATGATCACCAAAATTTATACATTTTCTTAACATGTCATATTAAGCCTTCTATTAATAATTCATGCACAACGGAGGGCATATGATGGGTTATTGTAAAGTGATTCAAATGTCAAGCAAAAGGCTTGATTTAGGTCCTTAACTCATGGTTCTTAGCTTAATTCTTTCGTAACCCTTTAAATCTTACTTGCTTAAAGTTCATAAAAAAAATTCACAAGATTCCTACAAGTATAATTGAGAAAAAGTCCAAAATAACTACATACCTTGTTGATGTTTGGGTACTTTTTTCTCGGGATTTCAATGTCCAAATGAAAGTTCATCCTTGAGTCTATTTTTAGGAACCCAAACAATTTCATGAAATTCAGTCTAGAAGGGCCCAATTTAAAGAAAATATGAAATTTCTCCGATTTTGAATTGGTGTATTGAACGGTTCATGTCATCGTCTTCTTCCTCAAAATAATGAGTTTGATAAAATTTTATATTTTAAATCCTTTTAACCTTAACCCAATCATTTCGAGATTTTGTTAAATATTTTATTAAAAAAAATGAAAATGTACCGAATAGACACACAATCACTTTTTGATGTTTCGAAAAGTATTTTCTCTTGATGTGAATTTTCAATATTTTTGAAAAAAGATTTCATAATTTTTTTTCAAACTTTGAAAAGGATAATCGGTAATTTGAACAACATTCTTCACAACTTCCTTCAAATTTATATTGTATGATTTATATGCCGTAACGAAATTTATGCGTATAAGATTACAACATTCTTTACAACTTCCTTTTAAGTTATCACATATTTCTGTTGTGATATGAAAATACCCGGGTTCGAAAAGTGTTTTGACCTTCTAAATTCTTTCATTAATTTTCTTCTCATTACCTCCATGACAATAGTCATCTACACACCAGAAGCACTGAAACTCTCCTTGAATCTAAGTGCCTAATAAAGAGTATGATTTCCTTGACTTTCTTTATACCCACAATCTTTCATAACCTTTATGGATCTTCTTCCAAGCCATGCCCCTGGTGATTGTTTTAGTCCGTACGAAACCTGTCTCAATTGGTATATTGAAACTCTTGAGCTTTCAAATCGTAGAAGAATGCTCGGGTAGATTTCCTCATCTAAATTGCCATGAAAAAAAATGCATTCTTCACATCATATTGTGAGAGTTTCCAATTTAAGTTGGCAACCAAAGATAACAATATTCTCGTGGGATTCACCTTTACCACTAAAATAAATACCTCCAAGTAATTTATACCTAAGCTACGATCTTGTCTTGTACATTTCCAATGTTCCAATCACACCTTATACAGGCGATGGAATAGATTTGTTGGATTTAACACTTGCGGTGGAGTGGATGATCGACAGTTATGAACGCTATGAGTAAAACTTAATCACAACGAATGATCACCAACTATTGAGTCCCGAAGATGTTGAAAGCTATGAACACTGTGAGTGAAACTTAATCATGGTGGATCATCGATAGTTATGGAGGCTTCACCGGTTGAGTCAAGATTTGGTTCTAATTAAATTTTTCAGAATAAAAAAGCTTTGATACCATGTTACAAGTATAAACTAAATCTCTACCTACTGGGAAACAATAAATATAAATAAATCTCCAAACACTAACTAATGTCAACTATTTCTTTTATTTAACACAAATATGTTTGAAGTAAATGATAGCAATTACACAAATAAGCCTTAAATCAAGTCATTCTTTCACCCCAAACAAACACCATTGTGCATCAAAGTAAGGAGATTCTTGATGAGTCCAATTTCAAAAAATGGCACCAAGTAAATTCCAATAACCAGACAGAGGTATATCTGGCGCAGTAATCTCCCACAGTATTTTAAGGAGTAGATGATAGACAAAGGGATATTCCAGTGGAAGTACCTGATTGTGGGGGCTTTATCCTGAAAATCGAATGACCGTTCCAAGCCAATCATCTGGAATTTTGCCTCGGATTTCCCCACTTAGAGCTCTCAACGAATGGACTGTTGCTGCCTGCACCAAGCGCCACATAAATAAACATTATATAACCTTAAATGGAATTCGTCCAACCAAAAAATACAAAAAAAAAAAAAAAAAAAAAATCACCTTTACAATGTACACTTCAATNAAAAAAAAAAAAAAAAAAAAAAAAAAAAAAAAATTCACCTTTACAATGTACACTTCAATACCAAGCTTTGCAATCATTGCCGCCTCTGATATCTTAGTCACCATTCCCCCAGTTGTATCATGCGCGGCTACACTTATCTCAACTATCCATCACAAATAAAAAACACAAAAACAACTGTCAGGTTGTTTCTCCCAAAAATGTCACTTTGTATATTCAGTCTTGCGGGTAGTCCTTCAGGGTATTCCTAGTGAAAGGGCAATTAACCTCTCTTTACTTTTTCTGGGCTCACTTAACCATTTTAGCATCCCTAGATGTATTCCTTCTTTTCATCGTAATAAGTAGGAGGGGCGAAAGTATCAACTGATTCACTTTTCTCTTTTTTATCTTTGTTTTCGTTAATAAAGAAGATTATTCTTAGTCTTAGAAAGAAAGGTATGATTCTGTCGTTCAAAGGCCGTCCTTTTTCCCTGAAGATCTATTTAACGATCTCATACAAGTATGTCTAGATTTGGTTGAAAGGTGCGTCCCCTGGACTCTTAAGATTCCTTATGAATCTTAGACTGGACTTCGGTGTCTACTGAAATGGTCATTGTCACCGTCACCGTCACCTGTTAAGGATTCGGCATTCGGTGTATCGAGTGCTAAAAAAACTCCCTTCCACCTGGAGCTCTTCACAATCTCCTTGTAGGATAAGACTTCTTTGTTTGGAGCTGATGGTAACAGTTCCAGCTCGAGTAAGAACTCTAGACTATGACCATTTTCAGCCGAATGCAAAGAGTGGGCCTCTCAATACATTCTGCCTTTGTTTTGTCAGTGTTCGTGTCAACTTGCACCTACCTCAAATAATCTAATGGGACAATCATGATCTTATTACATTTGATTACTAAGAAAACTCGTAGGATATTACATCTTAAAGAGACAATCACCCTAGGAAGAAGTTTCTATCCTTCTCATGGCGAGGGGTAATATTAGGAATTAATTTTATAATTAGAATTCCTAAAAATTTCAATAGCGTGGGGAAAATTTAAACATTAAATACATAGGAATAATATAAATAGCGTGGAGAGAATTTTCAGGGATCTTAGCACAAGAGTATATGATCATCGTTGCATATTAATAACAAGGGAAGCCAAATTTGAAGAAATTGTTCTAAAAATACAGGTCATTAACACAGGTAACAATGGTTTAAACAAAAGAAACAAAAAGCATAAACTAACCGACAAAAAAGCTACACAAATATGTCTCATAACTATGCAGTGAAGTAAAAAACAATATTCTAACCTTCTTTGTTACCGTTAGGCAGTATAGGTCGTATAACAGACCAACGACCATATCCATCCACAGCTGCAGCATTGAAGAATTAGTCAGTTCTTAAAATTCTGCAATTTAAGATTAAGGTAAGAGGATGTTTTATTAACTTACCAATCTCTCTTAAAAGGACTGCATCAGGTTCGGTTGGAGGACGATCATAGACACCTAAAACATCTGTCTTCAATCTACGTTAAGTGGAACACTTACAATAGAAATATACCTACACGTAAGATGTGATATCCCACATCAGTTGGGGAGGAGAACAAATGATTCTTATAAGGGTGTGAAAATCTCTCCTTAGCAGACCCGTTCTAAAAACATTGAGGAGAAACCCGAAAGGGAAAGCCCAAAGTGGACAATATCTGTTAGCCGTGGGCTTGGGCCGTTACAAATGGTATCAAAGCCACACACCGAGCGATGTGCCAGTGAGGAGGCTATTCCCCAAAGGGGAGTAGACATGAGGCGGTGTGCCAGTAAGGACGCTGGCCCCAAAGGGGGGTGGATTTGGCGGGGGTCCCACATCGATTGGATAAAGGAACGAGTGCCAACGAGAACGCTGGGCCCTGAAGGGGGTGGATTGTGATATCCCACGTCAGTTGGGAAGTAGACGAAACATCCTTTAAAATGGTATGAAAACCTCTCCCTAGCAGACGCGTTTTAAAAACGTTGAGGGGAAGTCCGAAAGGGAAAGCCCAAAGAGAACCATATCTGCCAGCGGACTTGAGCTGTTACATAAGATTAGAAAGATTAGAAAGATAGAACAATTCTATGAAACCAGGTTAACTCTATTATAAAGCATCTGTCTGATAGTGCATTCATAAACAGAATTCAGGTTAGTTAACTTCTATGGTGGAGCTGTATCTAACGTGCATGGAATTATATCATTTTTGAAGTCGTAAGGATACGAGGAACACAACATAATCAGGCTTCAGATTCTCGGCAAGATGTCGTATTATTACATCTCCACTTAATATTGTGCAACCCTAGTAAAGAAGTGGAAAAGTCAGTCAAGTAAATTAACAGTTAACCAAGTGATGAAATTTTGAAAGAAAAGAGAGCAAACCAGGGAATCGTCAAAAACGGCATCTCCATGCAGAACCTAAGCAAAACGTTATAGTTGTGACGTTATTATCTAGTTTAACGGGAAAACAGTATGTTATGATGGGAGTGGCCCAACAAGCCAGAGACAAAGTAAAAGAATAATGCGCATAAGCATAACAGACATGTAAAGTGAAGATACACACATTGTGACTACGCAGGGTGAGAAACCACAATATCCATACCCCCCCTCCCCCAATTTATCTTTCTAAGAACGAATTTTACTTCCTTGGTTAACTTTAAACTGTGAAAACCAAGAGAAAAAACCTATAATTCTTAGCTATTTCAAACCAAGGCTTTCTCTCGCTTTACCTATAGGCATGAGAGTCTTCCAACCATTCAATCCACTTCATAGATGCTAGAAATAACCCTTCTCCCAAAGCCTCTTCTTCTTGTGTGTGGACCTCCACAACTACTTTAGGAGAAGTGTTACTTCTTTCCTCGAAAGCCAAAAACCAAGGCCCCCATAATGATAATTGAGGTTTTGCACCAATCCACCAGGTGACTTCAAGCCTGATAACTACCCCCATTCCAAAAGAAGTTCCTAGCCAACTAATCTTATCTTGCAGTGACCCCTTTAGGAGCTTTGAGGATTCAAAAATAATAGAGAAGGACTATTGGACAAGGGTGAGATTTCCTCCTTTTCACACCTGAGGTAGTTCTCCAAAGGATTTCGTTCTAAATTTTGCACCCGAAGGGATGCCGAGGCAAGACAACTGTAAGGAATCATTTTTACACCCCATTTTCTCAGCGTGAAACAACAACTCACCCCCCGATATCGATCCCAATAAGGACCATTTTGTTCAAATTTAGGGAAAGACCAGAGGTATGAAGAAAAATATCAATTATTGATCACCAATTATGAAGAAAGTCGTCTTGGTTTAGAAATTTTGTTTCTTCCAACATTGAAACCCTTGAGAATATTTTTCTGACACCCAAACTGAATCAACTGACTAAAATTCATGGCTTTATGCTTTTGCTTATGGGATAATTTTGCTTTTATCTCTCCTTTTGGTGCCTTGTTCATCAGCAAGTCTAAAGGAATTTACCAACATTGGAGAACCAAAATTAAGAATTGTGTTAAGCCATGAATATTCTGCCTTTTATTGTGTTTAGATAGCTTTCTATCTATTGGTTTCTTTCAATAAGAGTGATCTTGCACTCTGAAGCTGGGTATCTTCTTCGAATTTTTACTCTAATCAAAGTCTTCTAGATGTTCGTTTCTTCTACTAGTAGCTTGGTGCAGCTATTGCAGCTTGAAGGGAGTAGCTTGGAGTTCTTTGGCTTGGTGTTTAATTTTCAATGTTTTGTTTTTGGCCCTCTTACTATTTGGAGAATTGTTCATTATTTGGTTGTTAAATCTCCTTTTTACACCCTTTTGGAGTTTGTCCTTGAACATTTTTCCATCTTTTTATCTATAATGAAAAGTTTATCACGGCTCTGTCAAAAAAGGGAGTATGGGTCTTGATCGTGGTGGACCAACTCACAAACAAAAAGAAAGATGCAAATTTCTTGCACTGAGACCATCCATATTTCTTAAATGGGATACCAATCGTGAAATAGAACCATCAAGGTGAGTTTAGAGGGTATGCTTCACTTTGAGGGGACGTAATATGGTATATATGTAAGTAGGTACAGAATGATACAATGTGTTCTCCAATATTTCTTTCACATTGTCGTAACAAAAACAAATCTATGTTAGAGACAACAAGTCTCTGGCATTCAAGAATATAATCTGTTTTGAAAGCATCAAATTGAATCAAATCACAAGTACTTGAGATGATGATAAAAATATCATTTCATCTCATCAATGAAATTATACCTTATCCAAAAAAATAAAAAGTGAGAGAGAGAATCATAAAAAATAATCAACCAAGGAAATCTATCATCAATCATGAAACATCAATGCTAAAATATGAACCTTACAGGAACAAAACCGGAGTTAATAGCCTTAGACACCCCATGTAAATCAACTGCATCCATCTGGAAGAAAAAGAACATTAAACTATAAATTGAATGATATGCAAAGGAAACGATTGCAAAGTTAAATTTCAAGAATACATTCTTCTAAAATGGCTCACTAACATTCCTTTCACAAGTGGACCATCCACATGAAAATGGAGACATTCCAACAGATGGAATACCCTCTGCAAAGAAAACCCAAACAAGGTTCACTAAAATATTTGACAATTTCCATGTATGGTGTTGAATTCAACATACCGATAACGTTAAGCATTCAGTTAAACAAATAAATAAACTTATAGAAAGATGTGTATACATCCATGTATGCGTGTGTTTGTTGTTTTGCGTACAACGAACCAACAAATCCTTGCTTATTTTATTTGATTAAATCATTTCTTCCATGTTTGTTAGGTTCCTCCCGTTGGGTCTTGCCTCACATCTACTATCGAAAAGCCCATTACGTTCATCTTTAAGAAAAAAAAAAAAAGAAAAAAAAAGGAGGAACCAGTGGTGTCCAACACAAGGATTAAAGAAATAAGAGCATACATATGTGAATGTGATGCTGAGAGAAAATAACTGTTGGGCCTATACCATTACCTATTAGCTTAAACTTTTAGGCAATGTCAATACCTCCCCATTTCATATTATCATCCATGTGTTGAGCTTTGTGCTAATATCCAATCTCACACATGAGAAGGATAGTTGAACATATATTGAAAGATCAAATCTATTATATCCCATTAGTTTGAACGGTTTTCAGTCTAGTGATAATTCAATTTTTTTTTTTTTTTTTTAAACAAGGAAACATATTCCATTCATTCTTTTTTTTTTATATCCACGAGTATCTGAACAAACTTGCACATGCCTCGACAAATTTAATGGGCTATCCGCATGAATCCTACTAGATTTGGTTGACAAGAAAACTTATAGGAACTCATTGGATATTAAATCAAGGAAACATATTTCATTGATGTATGAAATGAGAAAAGGAGTAAAAGAAAAACTACAAACACCAAAAGGTGGATTACAAGAAAGTTCAACTATTCATAGTTAAAGTAGAAAGGCTACAAACTCTGAATGGATGTATAAATTAACACAATAAAGTGCATTAAATACGACCAAATCCATAAAGTTATCACAATTGTTGAAGATCCAGCCGTTTCTCTCCCACAAAATGGTTCAAAAGAAAGTATGGTTGATAGCAACGCATCGAGTTTTCCTACCTCCTATGAAGGGATGTCCCACAAAAATAGAGGCAAAAATGTGAAAACTAGTTCCCTGAAAAACCAAATTCCATCCAAAAGCTTCAAGCATCAAGTTCCTGTATGGGTTGCAAAAGAACAACGACCAAAAAGATGACAGAAAGATTCAGCATTTGCACTACACATAACACACCAAGCAGGCGATTTGTTGTATTCTATTAACCGACCCCACATTGGCAAAGCTCCCAAAGAAAAAAATTAGTTCTCATTCGGTATGAATCCTTCCATATGAAAGAATAAAGATTGTTTGTTGTTGGCCCTTTTGGCATGAATTAAATCCTCAGTTAATGAACGAACAAAAAAATTCTTCGTAGAATCGAGTGGCCAAAGCCAACAATCCTTTTCATCCTTTAAAGTGACAGAAGAAAGCACATTAGAATGACCATCCCACCCCAGTATTTTCTCATCTGTGAGATTTCGTCAAAGGCTCAAATCCCATGCAAGATGTGTGGTATTAAAAAATCAGCTATAGTACCACTAGGCCACAAGGTCAGCCAATATAATCTCAGATAGAATAATGCTGGAATACCGCCAAAAAGCCACAATTCATTCCAGAGAGATGTATTAAGATCATTTCCAATCCTTCTTTGAATGTGATCTTGAACCAAGCAAATAGTAAAACAGATGAATCTCCAATGCGCTTTAGAATGCCCTCTAAGGATGGGAATGGGCCATGTATAAACAGCCTCTGTAGGATAATATTTAGCCTAAATAAGCTTGCTCCAAAGGACATTTTCTTCATGTAAGAACAGTGAAATCCATTTTGCAAGGGGAGTATCATTTCTATGCTATATATTACCAATTCTAAGACTGTCAATGATTAAATCCTTAGATACAAGGTAACAAACAAAAAAATAGGGAGGTTAACTAATCCCTTATTTAATGGGATTACACAAATATTCCTTAACTTAAGGCTAGGATTTACACGAATATAAGTATGGCCATTCCTTTGACACTTCTCGTTAAGGTGAGGAACAAATATCATCTATTTCCAGCTTGGATACTAACTCATGAAACATTGAGCTATAAATTTTTATTGTTAGTAAATCAGCCCTTTGAAGCTGCGAGGGCACATAACTAATGCGAAGTATCCTCTTCTCCACTTTCTCCTTGATGAAATGTCGATCCGTTTCAATATGTTTTGTCCTATTATGCTACATAGAATTATGTCCAATGTTGACAGTTGATTGTTGTCATAGTATAACTTTATAAACTTTCTCCTTTAATCCATTAGTCATCAAGGATTATCTTCAACCATAAAAGCTCACATAGTCCTTGCAATAGCTCAAAACTCCAATTCAACAAGTGACCTAGCCACTACATTTTACTTTTTACTCCTCCATGACACAAAATTACCTCTGAGAAAAGTACAATGCCCCATCGTAGATTTTTTGAACATTATTGATCCGACATAGTTAGCATTTTTGTAACCTTCCAATTGAAGGGAATTGTTTCATTTATATAAGATTCCTTTACCTGAAGTCCCTTTCAGGTAATGTAACACTCAATATGTTGCCTAAAAAGGTTCTGGTCAATCTTGCATTACACTTACTGAGCATACTATGTCAAGATGAGTGTGAGCTAGATATATAAAACATCACACTAGCATCTAGTACATCTCTCAATTCATCATAGATTCTTCTTTTTACTTCTAATTTTTGATGTCAATCTATTGGCGTTGGTGAGCTTATATCCATTTTTCCCTATTTTCATCAATAAATTCATCACATATTTCTATTGTTGTATAAAAATAGCTTGAGCTAAGTACGCCACTTCAATGTTGAGAAAGTACTTCATTCTTCCAGGTTCTTTGATCTCAAATTCTGCCATCAATTTCCTAACTTCAATCTTTTCATATTCATTTTTTCCAGTGATATTATGTCATCAACATACACTAAAAGCATTGTAACCCCCCTTGATTTTGAGTGCTTGATACTTAAAACATAGGGATAAGGTTTAATTGAAGTCATCTCTAGCATTGTCAGTTGGGTTTGAATTATTGAGTGAAAGGCAGAAATAATAGTACCAACGCCAGATTTTTGTTTGAGAAGAAATAGTCATGTAATCCAAGTGCAGTCATCAATTAATGTGAGAAACCAAAGAGGACCAAAAATATTTGGAATAGTAGAGGGTCCTCATATATTACTATGAATCAAATGAAAAGTCGTAGAGCTTTTATTTTGATGGATAGGAAAAGATACACGTGTATGTTTGGCAAATTCACATGTGTCAGAATGAACCTCAAAAACTTGAAATCCATGAAACAACTCTAGAACATAATTTTCAGGACTCCCCAATCATGATTCTGTGAGCCTCCCCAATTTCCCCATTTGCAGTTGAGAGTTTTTTCGTTCAACTTCCGACAACTCTCCTTGGCATGTTACGATTTTGGTTATCTTCGCTCTATTTCCTAAGTGTTGGATGTCATAAAGGTTTTTCAGTCAATGGTTATCGCCCACGTGAAGTAGCTCTTTGGTGGTGGAGCTAGGGGTGAGTGGGTTTCCATGGATTGGAGATCATTGGCCACGAGAAAACTAGGAGGTAGGGGTGGAGAGAGGGTAGAGAAAATTCATGGTGAGCAAAATAAAGTTAGGATTACGAGAATGTTTTGTGATGATTCAATATTTACGTGCCCAGTTTTTATTTTTCAAATCATTCTTCAAGTATACATCATGTCGTGATTGACTTTTACAGTTTTGGATATAGTTTTGGCATGAGTAATAGATTTAATTCTTAAGGAGACGTCAAGGAAATTTTCTAATTTCTTTATTACTAGCTTTCAATCCAGTACACTATAAATTACATATTTATTTGGAAAATGACTTTATTTTAAAGTAAAAATACTTTCTTTTGCTTCCATAGAATTGTATCTTGAAAGTAATTGTAAACAAAGTTGGTCGTTACATAAGAAGCCCAAATGATATCATTATAGCATGTATGAACCATGTTGCAGCGAAAACCAAAATGAAGTAAGGTTGTATATGAATGATGTGATGTAAATAGAGACAGAGACAGAAAAATTAAGATACGGAGACAAGCAAACCAAAAAATACCTCTCGCCAAGGCTCTAACAATTTGAAGATTGAGCAAAGTGACCTGACATATAAGAAATGTGAAAAGTATCGGTACTAAACAAATTTGAAGCTTAAGGATAGTATTCAAAAGTTTAGCCTCATACCCAAAAATAAATAAAATAAAAACTAGAGTTCACTGTGTTTTATTTTATAACAAATTTAATGAAGATAAATGGTGTACAAACGACCGCAAAGTTAAACAAAGGAGTAAATGAGGAATTACATAAGTATTGGGACTGAAGAGACAAAAAATATATGAAAAGAAAATATCATCCCACAGATGACCCGTCCATTCCTTCTCATCCTAAAAAATTAATTTATTCCACTCTAACCAAATGCCTGGACAAAAGCATTGCAAAACCATTGGTACCAGCAATGACTTGGGAAACCTATAGTTTGGAAAATGTTAAATCATCAATCAACCCAAAGTTAAAGCAATAGGATGGGTTACCATAAATTTAATTATATCAATACTTAAATACTCCCTTTACTTGTAGGCTCAGAATTTTTTTAAAAGGCCAAACAAGTGGAAACCAATATTGATTTGGGAGAAAATAACATTACTTGTGTAACGGCCCAAGCCCACAGCTAGCAGATATTGTCCTCTTTGGGCTTTCTCTCAAGGTTTTTAAAACGCGTCTACTAGGGAAAGGTTTCCACACCATTATAAAGGGTGTTTTGTTCTCCTCCCCAATTGATGTGGGATCTCACAATCCACCCCCCTTCAGGGCCTAGTGTCCTCGCTGGCACTCGTTCCTTTCTCCAATCGATGTAGAACCCCCACCAAATCCACCCCCTTTAGGGCCCAGCGTCCTTACTGGCACACTGCCTTGTGTCTACCCCCCTTCGGGGAACAGCCTCCTTGTTGGCACATCGCCTAGTGTCTGGCTCTAATACCATTTGTAATGACTCAAGCCCACCGCTAGCAGGTATTGTCCTCTTTGGGCTTTCCTTTTCGGGCTTCCCCTCAAGGTTTTTAAAACGCGTCTGCTAGGGAGAGGTTTTCACACCCTTATAAAGGGTGTTTCGTTTTCCTCCCCAACCGATGTGGGATCTCACATCATGAGCTTGAACACAAGATTTCCTGGTTAGATACCATGTTAAATCACTAATGAACTCCAAAGGAAAGTTGATGGGATGGTTTACGAAAAAATTAATTATATCAATACTTTAATAGAAAAGTGGCAAGGATCCAAGCCATAACCTCCAACAAATTGAACTAGAGTGGAAGCAGTGAAACCCTCCCAAAATTTTCTACATAGGAATTCCAATTGGGGTTGAGAGGAGACGGGCGTTACATTTCTGAACCTTGTCAATCATGTTGAGGCCGCTAGACTAGAGACCAGTGTAAAACCTTGCATTTCTTAGGCAAAGGTTACTTTCAGAGGGAATTGAAAAATTAAATCAGAGAAGTCTCCTTTCATTAATAGTAGCAAAAAGCAATTTGAATGCAAACAAGTCCACTCTAATTAATCCTATACACTCCTTGATCATTAAGACCATACAGAAATATTGTATTAAAATAATCAATAGAGTTTCACTCTTTCAAATCCTATCCAGGAATGGTCTTCTGAGCATTGTATGCCACCCATTAACTTGCCTATCCCACAGATACACATTCTTCTGCATGGAGATGGCATAAAGTCTGTCAAGCAACCTTTGAATCTTATATTGTCACGTCTATCATGAGCCAAAATAATATTTTGTGGCCATCTCGAGTTTTAATTGAAGAAAATTGGTGGAAGACATCTTCAAGCTTAATTATCTTGGTCCTTCTAGAGCTATTGAAAGTTAAAATTACATAAACCAAGGGCCAGCCATTCTCAAAAGCCAAATATGTTCCATGTAGGACCCTTCTCCATACAGTGTGAAACCGTTGGCTACAAGAGGATATATCTATTGCTGAAAAAAGTAGAGCAACCAAATCAATCGAGAGTTCTAGACTTGAGCTTAACTCAAACAATGATAATATTAGTAAGATTAGTATCGTAGTAATAAAAAAATAGGGAAAACTGAAACTTTTTCAGTATCCTTAGAAACATTTTTACCATACTAATATTTAAAGACAAATTAGTTTAATTAAAAACATTGTAACAGCTCAGGCCCACCGCTAGCAAATATTGTCCTCTTTGGGCTTTCCCTTTCAAGCTTTCTCTCAAGGTTTTTAAAACACGTCTGCTAAGGAGAGGTTTCCACACCCTTATAAAGGGTGTTTCGTTCTCCTCCCCAACCCATGTGAGAACTAACAAACATACTAGTCTTCAAGAGTTCAAATCAAGGCAAATTTAGCAGTATTATGATTTTAAGACACTTGATGACTTCTTGTTCAACCACGAGTCAACACTGAATCTAAAGTGTAGTAAGTAACACGAAGAACTTGCACTAAGCTTTCCTATTTGCTTAAAGCACTTGCAACCACTTGATTTGACCAACTGTTTCTTATTTCTACTTCTTTTTCTTTCTTGTTGCAAGATCTCTCCTCAACATGAAAACATTTGCCTAAGTCAGCACAGAACCCCAGTCGATTCCAATTAAGACTTGAGAAATCATTTAAAATTAGAGTTTCTAGACACTGGAAGATATCAATCAACTAAAATTAAACTTTAAACTAAAATCCAAAATAGTCTAGCCTTTGTTTTGTTTTTGCATCACCAAGTTTACATTATTCGTTCCCCAACAGGGCACTTTTCAAGTTGCCTGTCCTTTCTTTCTTTTCTTCTTCCATCCCAAGGTGGTTGTGGGAAAGTTCACGACCAAGATTTATAAAAGGGCAGTATAAGGAAACAATATGCAATTGGAACAATAAGACTACCAAAATGTACATAATTTCTTCAAGATATATAGGTTCTTTCAGCCAGAAGAAGTGATGCCAGAACTGATACAGGTTCAAGTACTCAATGAGCACATTTGGTTGTCAAAACAATAACAAGAAAGTAGAAAAATCAATTAAAGAAATGTACAACACATGTTAACTTACGGATATACGTGTGGCAACAAATCCAGCCTTGACTAAGGATCTATCAAGTCCTCCTTTATGGACCCCTGATTTACTTGCCTGAAAATGTCCAAAAGAACCTGAAGCAACCATACAGAACCATAACCCTCTGTGTTTGTAGCAGAACTAACAGGTATCGTCTTTAAACTTTCATGCATTTATATCTTGATCCTTACCATCAGTTCTCATCCTTTCAAGCTAGTTCCATAAAAATAAAAATCTATTGCGTGAATTTACTAGAACATTGTCCATTTTTACTAAAACTTCCCTTTTCAATTTCATCAAATTACGCATTGGGAGAAACATTCAATAGTCAATTTGTACATTGATAGTGCATAGTTTATGCGAATGAAGATTGATATTACCAGATCAAATAAGTATCTCGTGAATGACCTAGAACTTACCAGCTCCATGGACAACTATAAAGGGACTCGCAAGGCCAAGTTCATGTTCTCCGAAATCATCTGCAGGACACGCAATATCGGATTTTCCAGGCTGCTTGCTCCAATCCATTCCAATAGTATTTTCAGAAGAAGAGCCACTAACCATAGTTTTCCTCAGATGTGACGACACCGTCGCCAAATTTTCTTCGTGTATCGTTTCCAATTCATTTTTGGAAGTAATAGCCGCACCTCCTGGATTAACATGAAAAGTATTAATGCGATGCACAAAACAACAGGCACATGAGAAAATCATACGGAAACTAAGCAAAAAAAGAAAATCGATGAAATTGTTCTTGAGCTACAAATTATTGCATTCAGACCCAGTTTTACGATGCAGCGGAGTGGTTTGGTTAGATCCATAACTTTGAAAAAATTGTCGGAGACCGGGTGCGATTCGTTCCCCTCCTTAATTTTGCTTAAATGACGAAGTCTTCACTGGTCGGATCCATGTCGAAGCTAAGTTGATATCATATATTCGCGGGTTTTTCCCAACAAAAAGTTATGTATTATTGTACTTGTTAAGTCCTTTACTTTGGATTATTTAATTTTAGTTTTTTGTACGTTTAATAAATTTTAAATTTAATCCTTCAAAATGAATTTTTATGAAAATTAATTAAAATAATAACAACAATAATTTTATAATGTTTTGTATCGTTCTATAATGTATTCTTATACACTATAGAACGATATAAATTCTTATGCACGATAGGATAAGTTATGTCTATTGATATAATTATTACAACCAAGTCGATCTTTCACGAGTTACTCATATTTATAGTTAGGTCAAAAGTTCGTTTTACCTCTTCCATAATTACATTTTTCACCTTAAATATCACTCATCTTTTAATGAACAATTTGTTTATGATTCAATTATAAACCAAGTCTGTAATAACCAAAAAAAAAAAAAAAAAAATTGTCCCACTTTAGTTAGATTGAAAAAATGGGGAGATTCCATGGTAAAAAGGAGGTCCCTTTTTTCCTTTCATCCCACTTGAACGGTTCGAACTAGTCGGATAATATATTTTTGACAGTTTCAGGCCAACATTTTGGTTGATCTGGTTTGGTCTGATACGCTCGGATTCTTTCTTACATAAACCATATCATAACTTATCATGTCTTTGCACTTGATAATTCACATCATGCACATATCAATCATATCATATATAATAACAGTCACATAACATAAATCGAACGTGCCTTCAACATATCATATCATAACATATCAAATCATGAACATATCAATTTAGTGCATACAACATAATATTCACGTATCATAATATATATATATATATGTATATATATATATATATATATATATATTTCAAATAAAATATAAAAGATCGAAAGTACGCAGACCAAATCGACACTCATAAACGACCCTCAAGTGGCAATGCAGCTCTCAAACGCTCCCCCCACCTCAAGCGGCAGTAAGTGAAGACCTGAAAAAGAAATCTAAAATGCGGTGAGTAAAAAAGCACTCGGTAGGCAGCCAGCCGACTTGTAGGCTCTCTTCGCATCCAATTCTGGTAGGTTTCCATGGGCTTTTTCCTAGGCTCTAAGAAGTTCGAGCTTAACTCTATGGTTATCTGACCTTCTAGGAAGGCTTTAAATGGTGTTGTGGTATAGTTGATTATAACGTTAGTTGAACATACTAAAGGTCTCCAATTCAAGTCTAGGCGATGTCATATTTGAATTTTTTATTTTTATACCATCTTGATTCATTTTAGGCCTGTACCAGAAAGTTTAAGAGCTTGATAAGCTCGAGAATCGTGTCCTCGAACACACTTGAGCATGTAATTACTTGTTTGGACTTTTATTGAAGAAATACTTGTAGAAATCAACGAAGACTGGGGTGGAATGATTACGAGCGTGTTATATGCTTTTGATTTAGCCAAGAAATTCATGAACTAAAATTATTATCAGAGGTGCTTTTGATTTAGCCAAGAAATTCATGAACTAAAATTATTATCAGAGGTCTAGGTTGATTGGTCCAACAGACTAGAAATTCATGAACTAAAATTATTATCAGAGGTCTAGGTTGATTGGTCCAACAGACTGTTTTTGCTAAACGAAGAGTTGTTGGGTCTTTTATTGCGTAATTTTCAAGGTTTCAAATCTCAAACTGTGACGAAAATGACAAAAAGAAATGAAAATAAAATTGAACATTAAAATAATGCAATTTAAAATCAAACAACACCATGGCTAAAACAAATTGAAAAGCAATACAAGCATGTGTTGTTAAGGTTTGTTACAAATAGAGAAAGGGTTCGCGATACTATTTCAAACAAAATATAAAAGACTTGAAGTACGCAGACGGAATCGACACTCATAAAGGACCCTCAAGTGGTAATGCAGCTCTCAAATGCTCCCATACCAGAAAAGCCGTTAGCAAAACAATAAACAATGTCTAATAAAGCATCTCTCCACCAATCTGGAGCAACTCCTTCCCCAAATATCTCTCCTTCAATTATTTAGATTTTTGCTATCCCACAAGTATGTAACTTTTAAATTGTGAAAATGAAAGAATCCATTAAAATTGGCCAAAGATAACGGTTAACCGAATAAGAGAAAAATAGAGGAAACATAGATGTAATAAAAAAATGGGAGATATGAAATTTTGTTTTTATTCTAATTCAAGAATAGATTAAAATTGAACTAAACTTTAGACCAAATGGGGAGAAATATATAGAGAATGAAAAAAAAAGAGGGGAGATATGGAATTCTTGTGTAATTTAAATTGATTCAAACTAGCCAAACCTAACCAAAGTAAAAGAGAGGGAGAGAAACAAAGTGTAAGAAATTATTATTATTTGTAAGTAAAGAATATAATATTATAACCAAAAAAAAAAAAAAATACTTGGATTGAAGGATGATAGAGCATGAAATAATATTGATATACTTTTAATTTAAGTTTTACTAACAAATACAATTTAGAAACAATGAAAACGTGGAATTCGATTTTTACTGAGACAATTAATTTTATGTTCAAATTAAGTGAAACCTCGACATAAGTGAGAACGAATTCGAAGAAGGAAAGCAAACAAATTTGGAGCTAGATAGAAATTCGACTAAGGCCAACCAACGAAGTGGCCTTCCTATAGAATAGGCTAAAATTGTATGAGTTATGATGATGTATGAATTGTGTCATTCGATGCCATATGTTAGTATATGATGTTGTATGAGCTGTATCGTATGTTGTCATATACTCGTATATGATGATGATGAGCTGTATCGTATGATGTCGTATACTCGTATATGATGATGTATGAGTTATGATGATGTGCGTAGTGTATATATATTTCAATGAATGACGTACTTGATGTGTTTGATGCACTCTATGGCAATATGATGAGTATGATGATTGCGTGACGTCTATCTTAATATGATGATGTTTTCATATAGAGCATGCTATATGATGATGAATGTCATACTGCATCATGTCGTAAGATCGGCATAGGACACCACCTTAAGAGCATGAAAATGATATTCTTATTAAAGATCCACGAGTATGTGTTACCTAGAATAACATAGAGATGAGACTAGAGGGGTTGTGTCAAAAAAGGCATTACGATGGATTTAGAGGGATCTCATGCATATTGTATGTTCATAAGCATAGGGCTACTTCTCCAAAAGATGATAAGTGCGGACGCGCACAATATGATAATGAGTGCGAAAGCACACAGTATGATGATGAGTGCGAATATGCACCGCATGATGATGAGTGCGGATACGCACCGTATGATGATGGTGATGTTCATGAGGCGCATGACACTATGGGTTTCCGCTCACCTCTGGACGTCGCTACAGATTAGCTTGACTAGAGGGTCCAGGGGGTGCACAAGTGCCTTGGAGATTCACACTCGCACGTGTGAGTCGTGTGTAGAGAAGTACTACACATCCAATTTATCCGAGACTGGAAGCTACTCCTATGATGTTAGAGATAGGTTTCTAAATCATGATTGCATGTGTTTGCATTTGCATGGCCCTTATAGTGGGGTCACTTACTGAGTATTCTTTGAAATACTCACGCGTGTGCCACATCATTTTTCAGGTAAAGGCAAGGCACACTTGTATGGAAGATGGCGACATCGCGAGCAGAGAGAAATAGTGGCACGTGTATAGGGTAGACTCATATTTAAATTCCTAGTCTTAAGTTAGACTAGGTTGTTTAAAGCATTTTTTGAAGTTTATGTTATAAATGGTGTTCATGTAAGAGTTATATTTTTGCATTAGAGATGAGAACGAGACGTTAGTAGCAACTCTGAGTATGTGAAAATTTAGGATTGTTATAGTTAGTATTAGAGCTCTAGGTTTTAGATTTTGTAGACTAGCCTACAATGTAGGCTTGACACGTTCCACGGTCCTAACATTGATGCCCCGTCACCATCAGGTACGCCTTGCATAAGATAAGAAAAGAGAAATGTTTTGGAACTCATATGCATTTTTCCGTGGATATTACTGAAATTTTTGTGATATTTCATGTATTTATTATATAGTATGATGTGATTTATCGCATGTTGAGTGATTTTGTTTGCAATATGATGCGACTTTAGTATATGTATTTTAATAATATATATGCATAGTAATAAACCTTAGACTTAAGAGATGTTATCTTGGTTTCTAGAACCATGCTGCCTAGACCACTCGAAAGAGAAAGACAAGGGGACGATCTCCTATTATAGGTAGAGAACGAGGTGAGGCTGAAGAGAGCCCATCTTAAGAAAGATTAGAGACAGGGTTTGAATTAGAACCCTTATTGCATGAAATGTCTTTAAGCACCCTTTTGGAGGTAGACTTAGTAGCTAGGGATAGAGTAAAGAATGGCCAAGAAATCATAGGGAACCAAACTCTAAGAGTTGACCTAATGGTAGTAAACATGATGGACTTCGACATCATACTAGGCATGGATTGACTAGATGAAAAACGTGCTAGTATAGACTGTCATAAAAAAAAAGGAAGTAAAATTTTCACCACTGGTGGGACCTACCTTTAAATTTAAAGGCACAAGTATTGGGATTACCCCAAGGTAGTCTCAATGATGAAAGCAAAGAGGTTAGTCCAACAAGGCAGATGCGCTATATTAACATGTGTCGTAGACGTAAGAGGAAAAGAAAAGACCCTAGAAAACATGCCAATAGTAAACGAGTTCTCGGATGTATTTCTAGACGACCAACCTATAATACCCCCTTTCCGAGAGGTTGACTTCGTCATCCAACCCAAGCAAGGAAATGGGTCTATTTCCAAAGCACCCCTATCGTATGGCGCCAACAGAGTTGAAGGAACTCAAGGCGCAATTACAAGACTTACTGGATAAAGGGTTCATTCGACCTAGCGTATCCCCTTGGAATGCACCAGTGTTGTTTGCTAAGAAGAAAGATGGATCAATGTGTATGTGCATCGATTACAGAGAGCTAAACAAGAGAACCGTAAAGAATAAATATCCTCTACCTAAAATAGAAGACTTATTCGATCAATTAAGAGAGACAACAGTATTTTC